TGCTTATGTGCCTGACTTACCTCTAATACACTCAGGACTCCCAGAGTGATGCATTTCCATTTCCACTGAAGCCTGGAGGGGATGGCTTCCACAGAATCCAGAGCCCTGCCAGAGTTCAGGCATCAGAGAGGGCAGGCAAGGCTGGCTTCTGTACTGCACAGCTCTCCCATTTCCCAGCCGTCTCTTAAATCCTAGCAGCTATGTCTGGGAGACTTGTGCACAGGAATGTCCAGGGTCCTACCTCCCGTGCCCAGTCTCCTGGGACTGTCAAGCTGTGCAGGGAAGGGGGGAGGGAGAGGAAGGAGCAGGTGCAAGTGTCAACCCATCAGAGACCCTCCGTGGAGTGCGTCAGCAGGATGAAGGAGCCAGAAGAGGACTAGCCAACAGGTGCAAGCCGGGTCCACTGACGACCTTGAGAAAGTCAGAGGTGCCACATCCGGTGTGTGCATCCCCAAACCAGGGGATGACTGTCTGCCTCCCTCCTAAGCTTGGTGTAAAGCCAAAACATGAGATTATGAAACACAATAAGAAGCCTCTGTGAGTTGATCCATCTGACCTGAGCATCCTGGGGTAGAGGAGGATGGTGTCTAAGAGGGGGAAGGGGGACAAGGCTGTCCCTATCACAGGTCTGGATGTAACCAGGGCACCCCTAGCTTTCCTTAATGATCAGTGTCAGCCAAGAATGTCTCCAAGCCACTTACACATTGATTACATTTCCACCCTGTGCCATTTCTTGGAGGGAATTATTTCCATGTGGTTATTTCCCTGGAATAAAGAAAGGCTTTCTTTGCTTTGTCCAAAGCCTCTCTTTAGAATTTCAAGGTGTGCATGTGTGTGTTTGAGAGTAAGGAGCCTCCTTCTGGCAGTATGGGATTGATGAACAAGCCCTTCTATGGATGATCTTATGGAATTCAACCCTATCCCCCAGCCCCAAGCTCTCTCTTTGCTCACGAAAAGGCCCTAATTATTTAGCCCGTTCTCAGAGAGCAGCTATTTTCTTTGCCATTCTCTGGAGTCCTCTGCCCCCTCCCATCCTCATCTGAGTTCTGGGCTTTTATCTGAGACTTAATTCAAGATTCTTAAGTTTTGTTGAAGTAAAAAGAGATTTAATACACGCACTGTGTTATTATTTTAAAAGGAGCTCTGATGGGTAGCACAGTGGGTAAGGCATTTGGCTGCTAACTTGAAGCTTGGTGGTTCAAACCCAACAGCTGCTCTGAGGGAGGAAGATGAGGCAATCTTCTTCCATAAAGACTTACAGCCTTGGAAACCCTGTGATGTTCCCTGTGAGTGGGAATTGACTCAATGGCAGTGGTTTGGGTTGGTTTTTGTTTGTGTGTGTGTGTGTGTGTGTGTGGTTATTATTAAACATTCACACCAGCAGGAATCTTATGGCCACTAGTATAGGATTACTCAATAAGCAAGGTAAGCACAGGCTTACTTGTGCTTATTTGCATATCTGTAGTGAACAGTTTCACATATTTTTTACCCCAGCAGGAAGAAACACAGCTGACTTTAATAGCGAAGCTAAGACACTCTGGTCCCAGGGGAGTCGACAGACTCAGAGTTAGAGCTGGGAGGCAGAAAGTGGGCCAAGGCTAGCAGGACAGGACCCCTCTTGGGGTAGAGGCCCTGTGGGCTGTGGGGAGGTAGGGCTGGGCCAGGCAAGGCCCCTGGGCCCAGAAACAAAGGAAAGATTTCAGTGCCCTCTCTCTAGGCAACCTGCCTGCTTCCTGCCCACCCCCAGGAGCTTTGCTGGGATAGAAGCATGCCCCTGAGACAGTACTGGATGCTCAAATGAACACAGCAAACAAGGCCAAGAATGTGTCTGTTCCTCCTCAATAAGGAAACACAATGGGTTGCCTTGGCATGGCCCATGTATAGCTTATGCAGCAATGCCTACACCCCCTTGAGGACCAGCAACAGGCCAAGCTGGGAGAAGCTGTGCTGGGGTCTACCTATCCTGCTGACCCCACCAGGAGGTGGACAGCCATAGCAGCCTGGGGACTCTGGCCTTGTCTCTTGGATACACCCACAGGTCTGCACCTCCAACAGATTCAGGCGAAATCATCACCGTCCAGATTCTAACCTGAGATCTGTCTCTACTTTTTCCTTTCTTGTGCTCTTCCCCACGAACTAGCTTACTCTTTCCTTTTCCTTCCTCTGAGTGGAACTGAGCACCATCTCCTTAATTGCGTTCTCATTAAACAAGCCCTTAATAAAAACATACCAAGGGAAAGAGGTTGTACAACATAGCACCCTCACAAGTGATAATTAAACAGATCACAGCAATTAAGCAAATCAGGGAACAAGGAAGGGGTGGGCATGACAGCTATATTACATGCTTAGGAAGGGGCTGGAACCCACATAAATCTCAGTTGCAGTAATACAGTCTTGGAAACTAATTCTCAACATAAGAAAAGGATGCCTTGTTGGGTTATCAAAAATCACTTCAGTCTGTCTGTGAGACTGTTTGATATGGGGAGAGGGGCTGGTAGGGCACAGGACCCTTGGGAGTTTACTGCTCTTGTATCTAGTCTCCACAGTTGTGAGAATGGCTCTGGACCTCCTAAGCCTCCATCTTTCCATCATCATGTCCCAGAGCCTCACTCATTCTTCACCCATAGACCCAATCTCTACTGATCTGCCCCTCACCAGACGGTGGTTAACTGGGAGACAGCTTGGAGTGACAGAGCCCAAGAAAGTGGACTCTGTCCCACTCAACCATCAATTGGCCATGAACCTCCCTTCCTTGGACCACAGTTTCTTCCTCTCTGTGAGAGCTCTGTGCTATGATTTCCAAAGTTCCTCCCAGCTCGGATGCCCCCAGGGAGTCCAGTTGTTGGTCCAGTTGTCTCGAATCTCTCCTACTGCACTGAAAGTGCCCTGAGAGCAAAACTGCCGACTGTGTCCCAAGCACAGAACAATGCCCCTGTGAGGGCTCAGCCAGTGGCTGCCTGGGCAAGGCCCAGGGGGACCCTGTTCACATCCAAAACAGGGCAAAGAGTATCTGGAGCCTCCTGGTCTCCCACCCACAAGTTGCTCTGCTCTCTCCAGAGCTCCCAGAGTGGTAGCTCAGAGGTTCATCCAAACCTGCTCCGATGGGCCCCTGCTTCTACCCAGTCTACCCAGCTAAATAGTCCATGGAGGACATGGGAAACTCCACACAAAGAAAACTACCAAGAATCTGCCCACAACATCTCCCTTCCCCACATGTACACATATACTCACAGTTTGCCCTCTTGGTTGCCCACAGAAGCCCTGGTTCTATGAAAATTCTAACAGCAGTCCATTAGCAGAGACAACTTGATGACAACTGGCTTTTGGTTTATAGTTGAGGACCAGTACCCCACCACTGGGAGCTCTGGTAGCATAGTGGCTAAGGCACTTGACTGCTAACCAGAAGGCTGGTGGTTCAAACCCACCAGCCACTCCTCGCAAGGAAGATGGGGCAATCTACTTCCGTAGTGATACCGCCTCGGAAACCCAAGGAGGGGTCACTATGAGTCGGGTCCAACTCGACGGCACATAACAACAACAACAACAACCCCACCACTAGTAGTGTAGTGCCTAAGACACTTGACTGCTAACCAGAAGGCTGGCGGTTCAAACCCACCAGCCACTCCTCTGAAAGAAGACGGGGCAATCTACTTCCTTAGTGATACTGCCTAGGAAACCCAGGAGGGGTCGCTATGAGTCAGGTCCGACTGGAGGACACATAAGAACAACAACCCCACCATCCAACCAGGTGGCAGGAAGGGAAGCCAGAAGTGTTAACAAGTAAGCCATTTAATAACTAGGTGAGTGTGGATTCCTCAGTGACCTTTCACCCCTGCTATGGCCACAGTGGGGACTTGGGCTGATTTGAGATGGGGTGGTGGAGCCAATGTGACTGGCATTGTGACCTGGGTTGGAGAGGAGCCTCGGATCTCACTGAGATCCACTTCATTAGGGTCATTGTTAAGCCAAAGTGGTAGAGAAGACACTAGTGTTTTCTATCTAGCACGAGGGACATAATTAAGCCAGTGGCTCTGGAGTGAAATGAATATTTTTTCCCTCCTTCCCCACCAGGTGCCCCCAAGACCATCTGCATACAGTTTACATTTGCAGAAACAGCAGCAACTCTCCTTATAGGCTTCTGACTCCTGGTTTTCAGCACAAATACTTATTCCCCTTGTCTCTGTGGTTAAGGTATTTGTCTGATAACCAAAAGGTCAGCAGTTGGAACCCACCAGCCACTCCATGGAAGAAAGATGAGGCAGTCTGCTTCCATAAAGATTTACAGCCTTGGAAACCCAGGGGGGGTTGCTGTGAGTTGGAATCCACTCAATGGGTTTGTTGTTTTGTTTTGTTTTGTTTTGTTTTTACACATTGAAGTTAGGGGGGAGCTGCCAAAAGCCAAATCTGATTAATATAAACAGGAAGAGGTGTAGGTACCAGGTGCCAGAAGTGGAGTCGGCTTACACTGAAATCCAGCTCTGATTTATGAGATTGCATTCTAGACTAATAAATATCATTCTCTAACCTGGAGTTTCACACTCCAGAGTATCATGTGCAGATTAATATAGATAGAAGGATAGACAGATAGATAGATAGATAGATAGATACTCTATGCCCTCTGTGTCCTCTGAACAAGTCTCCTCCAGCTCATATTCATGCCAAAAATGAAGAGCCAGGAGCCAGTTAAGCAGTTCTTCCCTACAGAATCTCTTTGTAAAAAACAGACCTTCTTAAAAGGTAGCTCCAACAGTCCTCCAAGCTATTCCAGCCCTTGGTGTAGAGCCACGGGGAAGACCCTGGGCACTGGAGGAGGGATTGGGCAGAGGAACATACAGAAAAAGGGCCAGAGGACGGGGACACCACCGCACATCGCCGACTCCTGCCCATTGGTGCTCGCCTGATGCCTGGGCAAGCATTCAAGTAGCAAAGAGCTCTGGCCCGGGATGGAAACCACCATCCATCTCATCAATCACACGTGCAACTCACCTCGCATCCCCTACGTCCAAAGCACAAACCACGCACCCAGAACGCCTGAACCTCTGAACTCAGGAGACGCTCCTGCAGGCCCAGGACCCAGTTTCAGAAACCTGGAACTGAAGACTCCAGAAACCAAAGAACTAATCGGGAAGCTAACGTCTGGTGCGGTGGGGAGACACGCACGGTCCACAGGGAGTACAGGGGTAGGAGCCCGGTGTCCGGTGAGAAGCTGGTGGCCATCGTGCCCATTTCACGCCGCACTCCATAGCCCACCCGGCCCAAGGTACCCCTTCTCTCGAATGTCCTCTCCTAGGGTGGGGGTGGAGGGAGAAAAGACCAAGCCGGAGCTGCCTTACCCAAAAGCCCAGTGCCCAGCCATCTCGCCGGTGCTTCACCTCCGACCCTAGCCCCGGCCATCGTTCTGTTCTCTCCAGAACACGCCGGGCTACGGGAATGGGACACTGGGCACAGCCGCGCTCTCAGCCCGCGGCGGGCAGTCGGCCCCGGAGCCGCGGGTCGGGGCTCCGGAAAGTTAGCAAGGAAAGAGGTAAGGGAGGGGAGGCGCGTGCGCCCGCCGCTGGGAGCCGGCGGCGGGAGGGAGGGGGAGGAGGAGCTGGAGGAGGAGGAGGACGCAGGAGCGGGCGCAAGAGGAGCGAGGCTGCCTGCACCTCTGCTCTGGACGCGCTCCAGCCGCAAGAGGGGCGGTGGCTGCCGTGGAGCAGAAAGAGACCCCGCCCGCTGTGCACCCGGCCCGGCGCGCCCCGCCTCGCGGTCCCGGAGCCCCGGGAGCACCCTGGTCCCCCCACTCCCACTCCCACTCCAGCTCGAGCTGGGCTGCTGCGGTTCGGCACTGCAGGGCTGGCCCGCAGCAACCCGCATCATCCTAGGCGCTGAGCTGCAATTAGGAGGATCTTTTGGGAGAATGGGGGTAGGGATGGAGCTTTGAGGTTGTTGGAAGGCTGTTTTGTGGAACACGGGTAAGGCAGTGACTCCCTCTCGGAGGAGCAGCGAAGGGGCACCTGGAATGGCCGCAGCTAGCGCTGCCGCAGCCGGTGGGCGTGTGCAGACTTGCCCACAGCGGCCGCATCTTCTAGCAGCTCGGGCTTCGGACCCCCGCGACCGCCTCCTGCTGCCCCCGCGCGTTCATCAGCTCCGCGGGTTGCTTCAGGCTGCGGGCAACAGAGCTTCCAAATGCAAACTGGCTGCTGCAAACTGCCCCGCTGCCCTCCCCCAATCTCTCTCGTTTCTTCAGCTACTCCTCGGAAATTGTGACGCGCCTAATTAAGGATAGGCCCAAACACTACCCTCCAGCGACTTGGCGTCTGTCTGAGGTCCTGCGCCCCACTTCGTCCTTCCGCGGTCCCCCTACTTCTCACTTTTGCCACATAAGGCATCCCCCTCAGACTCCGCCCTTTTACCCTCCTCCAAGAGATCCCAGTCTCCTTTGGAACCTGCCTCCAAATTCAGCAGACTCCTGTCTCCCTTTTGGGGTGAAGGTGGAGGAGCCAAGGGCAAACTCGGAGGTCACGATCAGGTCAGAGGGCTGAGGTAAACCTGCAAACAAGCAAACCTTTTTCTAGACAGTCCTGACTTAAATAGTGCAGTTTGAGGCCGTTTGATAAATACCATCAGATATTCTCCTCAGCAACCTCTTTTCCAACCATCCCCCTCCCTCCACTCCAGACTCCCTTCACTGTTCCAGACCCTCCATTCTTTCCCTGTCTAGAAACAAACTCAACCTTAGAAACCCTGTGCTGTCTTCATGGCCTGACCCCTGCTGCGGCCCCACCATTTATTACTGGATGACTTTGAGCAAGTTACTCTGTCTTCTGGAGAAGACTCCACTCCTCATCTGTCAAATGGTGAAAGTCATGATTGTTACCTCATAGGATTATTAAGACCAATACCACCCTTACACTGGGCAAGAAGGGTCTCAGTCCTGGGCCCCTAATGTTCAAGGGTCTCACTTCAGACCTCCTCTGGCCATGCCCCTCCTCATTGGAAAAGGAGGCCATAGGCTCAAAGGAGGTTTCAAGCACCCTTTCTCTTCTAGATTGTACACCAGGTATCTGAGACACTGGAGTTCCCTACTCAAATGACTCACACCCCATTTCCAGGGAGTATGTGGGCATCTCTTCTCTCAAGCAACTCTCCTCTCAAAAGCTGACTGCACAGGTGTGCACACACAGAGGTGTGTACTACCAGGGAGTAGCCAAGAGGCAGGTGGAACTTGCCATGCAGGTGAACATTCACAAGCCTGCATGAGAGCCCCTGCCGATTCAGGACCAGAGAAGAGAGGGAACCAGGGATTGATTGGAAAATTCCATTTTGTATCTGGTCTTCCACGTCCTCATGAAGGAAAATAAATCAAGGGCAGATGATAAAAGATATTTTAACACCTTGTTACCTTGATTTCTAACTTATATTTAGAATATGACATGTGGTTTCCATTTGTGCACTTGCCCCAGGCCTCACAAACATTTGAAGTGGACTTGGCTGTGAAGATTGAATAAGATATTACATGTAAGACTGCTTAGTAGAATACTGGCATTACTAGTGTATTAGTATGGTAAGCAGTCAATACATTTTAGCTCTTATTATTCTCAAGGAGGTCTGTGGCCTAAAAAGGCTAATACTCCTAGCCTCTGCTTCCCCTCTTTCCCCAGGAGGTCCCCGACACTGCCCCCAGCGTATGAACAGGGCCAAGCACCCACACTGCCCACTATTTTTACAGCAGGGGTCATGTTTCTCAGAGTAAGAGGCTGAGGTGAGTGGAGGTGAGCCAAAGGGAAGGAAAGTGACCCCTGCCCAGAGAAGGAGGAGAGGACAGAGCTCCATGGTTATCTTTAGATCCTGGTGACAGGCAGCAGAGCCAATTTCCCCAGTGCCCTCTCCTCCACCTTCCTTGCTGCCTCACTGTTCACGGACTCTTCTTCGAGCTGGCAGGGTCCTTAAGAGAACCTCACACCTTACAGATGAAGAAACAGGCCCAGAGAGCTCTGATGAGTTGCCCAAGGTCACAGAGAAAGTTCCTGTTCCAGCCAGGATTAGAACCTCCTCCATTCCTTGGTTCCCTTACTCCACACCCCCAGCTTTCCTCTAAAGAACACTAGGAGGGCTTTGCAGCTGGGCTGAAAAAGTGCTTGAGAAATGCATTCGCAGCTAGAGGATTTTTACATTTATAGAGCACTTTTCTCAAAAATTCTCAAAAACCTTTCACATATGAGTCCATTGATCCAGCTTAAAGGACCCTCCTGAGTATGCCAGGGGAAAAACAGAGAGAAAGAGACAAAAGGTGGGAGTTCCTTCTCTCCTACCTTTTGAAAATTCCCTCTCTGAGGGAGCCCCTCTTTTCCCAGCTCAGAAACCTCCAGTTACTGGATGGGGTTGAGAAGAAGTGGGCCCCTCCCCTGGCTGCCACTAGAAGTGCCTGAAGGGCAGGGATGGTGTATTCCATGGTCCCCATGGGCTGCATTCCTGGTGATGGGGTAATGCACACTCAGGACTTGAGTGGCCTGGCTCACAAATACCTTGAAGAGCAAGTTTTCAGGGATGTACAGATGGATCAGGCCCTGTGCCAAGATGCTGTCAGAGAGCTCTTCATGCTCAGGCTGGAGGAGATGGGCCTACATTTAAGAAGGAGATTGTTTCCTTGCAGAATTCATGTAGGGTTCTTTGAAGTAGTTGGTCCAAGAGTTCTCTCCAAGACCAGGGACCAAACTCAGCTCACTCACCCCTACCCTGCTGCTGCCTCGTCATCCCAGCCCTCCCAGGGAGCTGGACTGGAACTAGAAGGAGAGCAGTCCCCCTTTTCCAGGAGGGGCAGCCTATGGAGCAGTGAGTGTGTGGTGGTGGGGTGAGGAGGTGGAAGTGGGGGAGTGGAGTGTGCAGAGCTCCAGTTCCCAGCCTCCCGGAGCTGCCCTTACACCTTCATGCATTCACCCCTTGGGGTAGCATCACCTTCTACAGAGGACCAGGGAGGGGAGATGGAAGACTCAGCCCCCTGTCGGTCCCCAGAAAGCTGGCCAAGCCCCTGTGCAGGGGGAGGAAGGAAGGGAACAGGAGAGCTCCGATGAGGTCTCTGGAGCTATTTTGAGAGGAGTTCCTCCTAAGTAACAAGAGCCTGGCAGGGAGCCTCCTCCCCCTCTGGCTCCCTTATTGCCCTTGCCGCCTGCCTCCCTCTCCCCCTTCCTCCCCCATAAACCCTCTTGCGTGGTTGGTTCCTGTCAGGGCATTGCAGGTAACAAAGCTCAGCGCTGACTTGGCTCTTAGAGCCAGAGAACACAGGGCTCTCTCTGCAGGGAGGCCCTCACACCCCCACCTCACAGCTCTTCTCCAGACTCAGGTCAACACCACTAGTGTATGCTCTTCACCTTCCCTGAGCTACCGTCTGGTTGCAAACAGGGCCCAGCCTCAGGACCAGACTGTGGACCTGCCGGCACAGAAATTCTCTGCCTGCATTAATTTAAAGTTAAATGCCCACCAATCCTTTTTTTGTTTTGGGTTGGGTGGACCCTACCTGGACAAACTTTCAGGAGCCTCCTTCTAGTGCACGTAGAGCTGTTTCCTGCCCCTCCCTATTCACCACCCCTTCCCTCCAACCCAGAGTCCCTGTGGCCCCCAGCCATAGTCTTAGCATCTACTGAAGTTTGGCAGGTGCCTAGGGGGTTAACAGGACAGCATGCACCAAACCAACCGCAGGCAGTGGCTCAGCAGTCCAGCAGGGAACTCATGGCACTGGCCACCTCAGCCCACCACTTCCCACTCCCATGTCTAGAGCCCACCTGGCGGCGACTCCTTGCATCCTCCAGCAAGTTGGAGTAAAGATAAACCCTGAACCCTCCTCCCAGGACAGTCCAGTGCTGCTTCTCACCCATCTCCACTAAAGGCTCTGGGCGCAGGCAGGTAGGCAGCCACCTCCTCCATCCTTCCCTTCCCTTTTTCTGTTTTCTGCCAGGTTCCATCTAAATATCCTTTCAGCCAAAGGGGGGTGGGGAGCCCCAGACAGATGAGCTCACTGGGAGGAGGAGGACAGAGGGAGGAGGGAGCTGAAATATCCTGGCCAGAATGCAGCTCACTGGATAGTCCCAAGCTGGAGAGGGGTGTGTGCCCACTTCTAGGAGAGGTGTCTGCTTCCCTTGCTGCATCTCAGAGATAGGGTGAGTCCTGGGCATCCCTTTATTCTGGGCCACATTGGGGTGGGGTACAAAGCCCCAAGGCAGGGTCTCAGCCATCCCACC